CGTACTCACCACAACAGCACAAGCATTGCCTGCACATAAATACTCACAAGCAGCTGGCACAGGAATATATATTTTGAAGATCTGGCTTTTGTTGCTAACGAAATCGAACGAATGGGCAATAGTGCAATAAACAATAGAGCTCGATTAAATCAGTTTGCCACGCTTTCTTCTGCCAGTTACATACATTTTGCATCCAATCCAACGCAAATATATGAAATTCCGACTCATCTGCATATATGTATGTGGGTCGGATTGGATGCAATATGTTTTGCACCCACAAAATAGTTCGAAGATCAGCACCTAAAACCAACTATGAGCTATGGCGGTGGCAGTGTCATGGTTGGGCCTGCATGGCGTCTTCGGGATTTGGAAACTTAGTTTCCATAGATGGTAATATGAAGAAATATATGTACCTATCCTTTTTAAAAGGAGAATTCGGTCCAAAGTGCCGAAAAACTTGGTCTAGAAGGGCGATCCCGATTTTATCAGGCTAATGACCCAAAACATAAACCTGGTAATGTCCAGTCCTGGTTGATCTGGAACTATCCAAATGTGGTCACTAGCCCAGTGGTCATACCTATAGAAAATTTGTGGACGAAATTGGGCGTGGCCATTCGGAAAAGGTCAATATCCAATGAAAATGACCTCAAAACGGCCCTATTGGGGGAATGGCTAAAAATCTCCATATAGTGTTAAACTCGATAGAATCACGCTTAAAAGAGGTGATTAAACAAAAAGGAGGTAAAAAATCCTTATTTAAGAATTTTGGGCAATAAAGTCATTTGAAGTAAAGTGCACGAAGTAAGCTGTGACATGGAAAAGGCCAGTTAATTTAGTTTTCTTTAGTTTTAAATGTTATTTAATAATGTAGTCCTATATAATTTTTTTGATATCTTTGCTGGTTTAGCGGGAAGGCGGCTTTAAAATTTTACTATACCGCTGCACGAAATAAGATGTGAGCCACTGTATATACTAAATTCGTGAATCAAATATCCCTTCATGATTAAATGGCAAATTTTACTATATATACTTGGAAAGCTCAAACTGCTGCTGAAAAAGTTTAATCAACAGTTTGAAATCAAGACTTTGGACACGAAAATGTGGGGAAATTACAGCATATATAATCGAAAACTACTAATTAGTTTTAACTAGTAACTGGCTAAGCCTTAGTCGGCTTTGGGAACAAAGCTATCCAATGTCTTCATCAACAGGGAATCTGTGTCATCAACTCGTATCTACAACTCGCTTTCGTATTTGCTTAGATCCTTCTTTTATTACATTATTATTAGAGGGGTAGGTGGGGTTTGTAGCTTGAGTGCACGATATATGCATGTCTGTCTGCATGAGGTTTCGTATATACTTTACATTACATTGGTCGCAACCTAAGGTGCTTCGATATATACATACTTTTGATGATTTTGAAGATCTTCAATTCCACTATTATTATACTCATCCACGAAAGTGAAATCAGTATATTGCTGTCCGTCCGTCCGTCTGCCCGTAAAACGCAGTTCTTTTTAAATTTGAAAATTGGAACACATACTCGTGTATATCTCCGATTTATAGAGTGTTAAAATTTTCCCGATCCAAATCGGGATCTGAAGATATATTGATTTTCCGAATATTTGAGATACTATTGATGCTAAAGACCTTAAATTTGGTATATATACTTAAAGTCAAAGATCTCCGCCTACAGAGGCGTGGCAAGCCGCAAAAGTGTATATGTTCTACAGATTGAGAGCTAGAAGCTTCAAATTTGGATAGTTGAGTTACTGGTAACCCCTCTATCGATGACCCACAAATAATTGTTACGCTTCTTTAGGGGCGTGGCATATCGAAATATATCCTGTAATTTTCACATTTTAAAATTTACAGTTACGCTACTTATGGCCCGTTCTAAGAACTGGCAAAAAATTATGTACCTACGCCCAGCAGGGGCTAGAAACTCAAAGCTTAGCGACTAAATTGCTGATAGCATTCTCTATTAACTTGCTCAAAAAGAATATATGGGCATTTCTCCAGAAAGGTCAATCGCAGCCAAAACATTCAAAGTCAATGAAAGCATGTTCTGCTAACATATTTTTTTATAACTAATCCATCAAATTTAACTAATATAAACCAATTTTATATTTTATCATAATACATCTCGAATATTGAGACACAAAGCCGAATAAGTGCAAAAGTTCTGTTTTGAGCATTTCTATTGCACATTTTGTAATCACGCGCTCTGCTAATTGCGCAGTTAGCAGCGACAGTGCTTGGGCTGCGTTTGCAGTGTGGGCAACATTATAAGAATTTATAAGTTGAATAATTTCTCTTGTAGATGGACTATCTTTATGAGCGGGATCATATGGGTAAAATGTGTGTACATTCCAAAGCACAAGTCTCTAGTGCTTGAAATGCGTTTTTTACAAATTGAGGGTGAAGGGGGTGTGCTATCCAAAATCTGTAAATTACAAAATCTTTGTATCGATCAACTGTATATACACAGTTTATCTGAAGTCTCTAGGTCTAAAAATTTTCAAATTAGGCTGAAAAAACAAAATAAATTTTTCGATTATTCTCGATAAAAAAGTTATCGGATGTTATCGGAGTTATCGAAAAAATATGACAAACTTGTAATGCGTATGGTATACACGAGTATGCATACGGACGGACGGACGAAGGGACGGACGGACGGACAGAAGGACAGGCCTATATCGATTCAGCTCGTCGTCGTGCTGATCAAGAATATATATACTTTATGGGGTCTGCGATGATTCCTTGTGCCCGTTACGTACTTTTTCACAAAACCATTATACCTTGATTTCCCATTTTTAATGGGTGTGTTTTTTTTTTTTTTTTTTTTTTTTTTTTTATTCGTTTATTAAGAATTTTTACAATATGAGCTTAGGTGTGTTTAGGTGGCTAAGGGTAGCGCACGATGCTTGCGGGACGGCCGTAAGCAAGCACTTTGCACTCCCTTAGCTTGGGACAGCTCGTCTTCGCTCGATTCTGCGAAGCTCCATCATGATTGTGGTCGCGAAGGTGCTTATAAGTTTCCAAGCAGCGTCCGATTCCAACATCACGTTGACCACGTTGTCCGCTCTAATGGAGCGGCCCAATGCTTCTTCCAGACAACGCCTCTCCTCTAGGAAGCGTCCACATTCGAATAAGACGTGGTTGGCGTCCTCCACCAGACCTCGTCCGCACCAAGAGCATTCGTCGCTTTCATCGTGGCCAAAGCGATTCAAGTAACTCCGAAAGCATCAATGTCCCGATAGAATCTGTGAAAGATAAAAATTATGTGTCTATATGTATATGTATGTGTATGTGTGTGTGTGTTTATGTGTGTGTGTGTGTGTGTGTGTTTGTGTGTGTGTGTGTGTGTGTGTGTGTGTGTGTGTGTGTGTGTGTGTGCAAATGCGTGTGTTGTGTGTCTGGTGTAAGCAGAAAGACACGAAAAATGATTGAAATAGGTATTGCTCGAAGGATTCAGGGGATCTCGTAGTCGAGCAGTCTCGACTAGAGCTTTCTTACTTGTTCATTCCGTTTTAAGGCTTCAGTTATTCGCGCTCATTTTACTGAAGGCCGTTTTTTGCGTCTGATTCACTCATTCTCTATTGTGAGCTCTCAATTTTCGTTAATTATGTTTTTTTGACTTTTATAAAAATCCTTATTGTAGTAATTAAAATAGCTGATCAGTTCATACATATATGTATGTACATAGCGCTAGGACTTTTGGCACAGTTTATAGTGACCATGGTATTTTAGTGGTAGAGGTAGTTTAATGAGTTTTTTTTTATGCCCTGAACCCATAGAAAATGGGAAATCAGGGTATAATAGTTTTGTTGAAATGTATTTAACAGGCAGAAGGAGGCGTGGCAGACCCCAAAGTATATATTCTTGATCAGTGTGACGAGCTGAATCGATTTGGCCCTGTCCGTCTGTCTGTCCGTCCGTATGTATGAACATGTCTTAAGGCATTGAAGATGAATTCCCCCGCCTCCTCCGAGCATGTCCAATTACAATGCTCCAGGGTATCTTTATAAAATTCTGGTCTCCAGACAAACTTAGTTGAGCAAACTTATATGGTTATAGCGTCTTCCAGGTGTAACAACGGTCCCTTGAGCGTCGTTATAGCCGGATTCTACTGTATTTTAGAACTGAATTAAGTAATCGAGCCTTAAGCGAGCCTCAGGCGCTTTTGGGTAGGAAATTCTCATAGTCATCAATCCCCTTCGGTTCAGGCATAGGGATAGAGAGCGGGAGAGTGGGAGAGAGATAGAGAAAAGGACTAATCAGAGTTAGCTTTTTGTCGTCCTTTGCTTTGCTATGTTTTGCCTTCCTTTCCGACTGTGCAGTGCAGTAGTGTTTGCAGCTGCTGATTCTACGTATAAGCTGCTGTCGGCAGCTACTCAGTTATTGCACACTTTCACTTTGTGGCATAGTGCACCTAACTGCGTACGCCTACGTGGCGCACACACGGCTCTTGGAATACTTACAGCAGGGCCTTAACATATGGAACAATCAACAAAATCGCATGGAATCCAGCTCAATCACATGTGGGAATTCAATTAAACGAACGTGCAAATGAGTCGGTTGTAAATGCTCAGATTTGCACTTGATGTGCAGCAGCAGCAACAACAATCGTTTCATCCACACACACACTCGCACAGACTAGAGGCATATACACATGTATGTATTTATAAATAAATCCCAAAGCGCCCGGAAGTCACTTACAGCTAAAAACGGAAGTTGAAAACGATTGCTGCGTTCTGCTGCTGTTGTTGTTGTTCTTGCTGTTGTTGCTCTTGTTGCTGCTGCTGTTGTTGCTGCTACTGCTGCTGCTTCTCTGCTGGTGTGTTTTATAATCGCTTTTGCGCTACGTACAACATGAGGCAAAGCCGTCTGTGTCGTCTGGCCAAACAAGCAGACTCGGCTGGCGCTCGTGCGCCCTTAACCGAGTCCTGCTCAGCCAGGAGTCTCTGCTGCTGCCACTGCCATTGCCACTTGGCTCCACACTCGTTCAGTCATTGAACAGTTGCCCAACGCGTTGCACGCCGACGGCAGCAACGACGAGAGCTTCACTTCAGACCTCAAAGTGACTCTTTGTTTTCGTTTGCTCCGTATTTTTTTATTTTTTTTTGGCGCGCATTCTAAATTGGTTGCAAACATTTTTGCATTTTGTGACTATTATTTTGTTTTATTTTTTTCAACTTGATAATATTGTATTGGTACTAAAGTCAAAGTCAAACAGGTGAAAAAATGCGTGATCATCCAGCGGTGCCAAATGTGTTTCGTGTTGCCTCATCGCACAGCATTAATAGCATGGGCGTTGCAACCACGCCCAGCAGTAATAATATGCAGCAGCAGCAGCAGCAATTAAAAATGGGCGCCAATATCAAGTATGTGAAAAGCAACAGCTATGAGCAGCAGCAATTAGCACAGTTGGAACCACAACTGCAACAGCAGCTGGCTAAGCATCAGCTAACCACCAGCGCATCCATTGAGCAGACGCATCAATCGATGCAGCCACAGCAATCGCCGTACGCAACGTTGCCCCGCGGCGTTCTGCGACGCACGCAACAAGAACCACAGCAGCAACAACAATACTCTAAGCAGCAGCAGATACAGCACGAGTCGCAAAAGCATCTGCATACAGGTGTCATCAATACGATTTCAGGCAGCATTCCAGCGACGGGCTTTCAGTCGCTAGCTGGCAGCTTCAGCGATTTGCAGCTCAACAATTTGAGCCGCAACAACAACATCTGCTCCACCAGCAGCAGCAACAATAATGACAAGCGACAGCAACAATTGCTGTTGCACCACCAAGAACAGCAGCAACAGCAACACCCACCACACCAGCAGCGTCAAGTACCTTGCAAACCTGCCGAACAGCAGTGGGCATCACTGTCGCCTGAGGATACTGGTACCGCTCTGGAAGCCCAGCCTGGATTTACAAGCATGTCCAGCGCCAGAGGCGGTTACCTGTGGCTACTGACACCTGTTGCGGCTAGGTGAGCGCCATACAGTACATGTACTGACAAGCCCAAGAATGTCACTTTCTTGACTCCTTCTAAGATCAACAGCATAGAATGTGTTCGCTCTTTTATATATTATATGTATATTTTTGTATATTATCTTAATTAATATTATTTATATTTCTATATTCGAAGCTTTATTATACCTATGAATATTTATATATCAATATACTAGGTGACCCGCGAACTTCGTACCGCCTAAAAATCAAAGAATGTCGTGTTACCTTTTAGCTGAACTAATTTAGGCTTTGATGAACGTAGTACAATAATACAAAACAATATTAATATACTCGTAGATAGAAATATAAAAGAATTTTATTATGATGAATGATGATGAAAATATACAGAATGAGAATAAAAATTAAAAAAAAAAGAAATAATTAAGTTTTCCAAACACATGTCAGAAAAAAATCATTGAAAACTATGTTGTTCAGGTTGGGGTACAGTATGATTAATTTATTAATCGGATTTTCATACAAGCACCTTGTGGTAAACGACATTCTTCGTTTTTTGGTCAGACAATTGACTCGCGATATTCCGTTGCTTGCGTTACGGGTCCGATGGGAAAAATTAGATCTTCTAGGACGTGGCATTTTGAATATGCACTTTCACAAAACCACATAAAACAAACGAGACAACCTATGAAAAGACATTTACACTTTTGTTAAAGTATAATAAATCTTTAACTTAATAAATAATTTACACAAATTAATGTCTAAGACAAACAAATATAATAGTACCTACCGGAACTTTCGAGATATTTTGCTTCTGTACGCACGCGTAAAACTTTTCAATCTTTTAACAAAAAAAAAAAAAAAATACACATGATAGTTTATTCATTCACGTATTGATCAAATGTGCATGAATAATTGTTTAACATTAGAGCAGGACCGAAAACTGTCACTGTTACCAAGCCTACTGGGTAAATTCTCAATGAAAACTTGACAGCTCCGAACTTAAAGAATTTTAGGGAAAATAACGCGTTTTTCAAGTATTTGTCAATTTTTTAGTATTATTTAAGATATACTCTCCAAATCGGGGCGGAAACAAATCCAACAAATCAAAATTGGTCCAGCAGATCTCGAGTTATAAGTTTTGTAACACATAACACGACTTTGTTTTATATATAGATGTTTTATATATGAATTTTTTTATATACGTTTTTCAGATCTAGTATCCTGAAATTGATATATGTATATTTTACTAAGCTATCTTATTAATTTACATTAAATTTTTGCTTACTCAAATCCTTAATTATATTTTTAAAATCTATTAAGTTTTCTGTTAGAAATATTTGCATATGTAAATACATACTAACAGTTTTAGAAACATTACTTTCTTATTATCTAACATATATTCAATAATGATAATAAGTTAGATTTTTATATTTTATACGCAAATCTGGCTCCTAATCATGTAATAGAATACAAATTATTTTTTGATATTTTAAGTTAAGTAAGTTAAGTTTTTTATTTTATTTAAAAACAAAAAACTCATTGTTAATACTTATTTAAAAAATAACTTTGATTATTTATTGAAAAATCTTCTAATTATACTTCTTTTTTTTACATTTGTTTGTAATTATTTTATTTTATTAATATAATTGTTATTACTATCTTTTATTATATAGCATTGTAAAAATATTTAATCCTGAACCCATTGACAATAGGAAATGAGGGTATAATTGTTTTGTTGAAGCGTACCAGTCGGAAGGAAGCATCGAAGACCCCATAGAGTATATATATTCTTGATCAGGGCGATGAGTTGAATCGATATAGCCCTGTCCGTCCGTCCGCCTGTCCATCCGTCCGTATGAAGGCAGAGATCTCAGAAGTTATAAGAGCTAGAGACGCATACTCGTGTATACCATACGCAGTACGAGTTAAGAGCCAGAGACTTCAATTTTTTTTTAAATGTCTTTATATACAGCGCGGATATCGAGTTTATCACCAAAAATCGATAACTCTTCTATCGATAAAAAAAACCTTATTGAAAATCAGTTATAAAACAAGTAAGAACGTTGCAGTCGGGCGTTACCGACTGCGGAATAATCATTCACATCCCATCAACAATTTAGTAGTTAAGTTTCGCTCTAATACTGTAGAATATACAGGTTTTTCCGACGCCCCAACTGGGCGTAGACACCTCATTTTTGGTCAGTTTTTAGAAAGAGATAACGGTACCCTAACTGCAAAGTTTGAATGCTTACCCTCAAAAAATGTGAAAATTACAGGGTATTTTTCGATATGCCACGCCCCTAAAGAGGCGTAAAAATTATTTTTGGAGAATCGATAGAGGAGGCTACCAGTAACTCAACTATCCAAATTTGAAGCTTCTAGCTATTATACTTTAGGAGATATAAACTTTTGCGGTTTGCCACGCCCCCTGTGGGCGGACATATATCCGATAAAACTTTTTGGTCTTGGGTGATCAGTCCGAGTATATATACAAAATTTGAGGTCTCTGCCATCAATAGTGTCCAAAATATAGGAGAATTTAAAAAATCACTATATCTTCAGGTCCGATTTGCCACGCCCCTAATGGGCGTAGACTTATAATTTATCTTCAGACTTTATAGAATCATACCATTAGCTGACGTGCAAAATTTCAGCATTCTAGGTTTACAACTTTAGGAGATACAGTTTTATCCGATTTGCCACGCCCCCAATGGGCGTAGATATATCCGCCATAGCTCGTGATCTTGGGTGGTCAACGCGGACCTACATACCAAATTTCAGCTTTCTAGCTCTTCAACAAACATGATTTCTGGTATATCGGAAAATGCATTTTCCGATTTGCCACGCCCCTAGTGGGCGGATCGGGAAAATTTTAACACTTTATAAATGGGAGATATACACGAGTATGTGTTCCAAATTTCAAGTCTCTAGCTTCAATAGCGCCGAAATAGATTGCGTTCATACGGACAGACGGACAGACGGACAGACGGACAGACGGACGGACGGACAGACGGACAGACGGACGGACAGCAAGACGGACATTGCACAAAACCAATATACTGATTCACTTTCGTGAATGAGTATAATTATATCTCCTATATCTTTAAAGATAGAGTCTCCAAATTTTAAATGTATACTTAAATGCATTTCATACAATTTCGGTTTTTATTAAAATTTACTCCCACCTGGATCAGGGGATCTCGTAGTCGAGCAGTCTCAACTAGAGCTTTCTTACTTGTTAGTATATGTATTTGTGTGAATTGGGTACGGTCTCCCATTTGCAGCAATTTATTAATATCTGTGCACAGAAACTGGAGGATTACATATATATATATATATATATATATGTTGTTATATGTTTATATGGAGTTTTTAGTAGGGAGTGCCTCATTGAGACCTACTGTACCCAGTTGTTAATCCTTTAAGCATAAGCATCGTGCGCCAGACTCATATTTTCAATGAGTTTAGAGTATCAAAACAATTTAACAATTGAATTTTTCATTCAATTTTCGAACTGCTCTACCTAATTTTTGCCCCATCACGGTTGTTTATTTGGAAGAAAGTTTTTGTGTGGAAGGCTTGAGATTCCTCAAAAGGGAGGAATACTTCATAGAGTATGGCAAATATTGTAAGAATTGTGCAAGTGCGAGCTTTGGAATCCGAAATCCAAATTGAGATAGTCGTCGCGTTGAAGGCGTGTGGCCGAGTTGAGTTTCAAACTTTTCGAATTAAAGCTAAAAACTTTGTGATCTTAAATGCGAAATGGGTGTGGGGCGAAGGGCGAGAGGACTTCCTTAAAGTCGAGTGAAGGCAACTGAGGACTTGGACACACTGACTGCAAATAGTTTGCGAACAAATTAAGCCCACTTTGCAGTGATTTGTGTCGCTAACACAATTATTTGTCGGCAGTAGAGCAGTTGATGTCCCTCGTGTTGTCCTGCTTCTGAGTTCTGCTCTCCTATGTCTACTGCCGCTGCTACTGCTGCTGATGTTGTTGTTGTTGATTGTAGCGGAGCACGTGAAAGTATGTGCTATGTGCAAAATATAAGTCGCGTCCCTTGGCAGTGGCGGTGGCAGTGGTTGTGGCTGTGGGTGAGTGGCTGAGTGAAGTCGATGCTCCAGCAATTGGTTGGCAGATGCCAGATGTCAATACATATTCATACATTCACCATGAGTACATGTATATGTATATGCGTGCACAGACATATCAACATATCCATATATATAAAATGTAAATATAAGCAACTCCCGGGCCATTAAAGAACTTCTAAGGCTACTCTTTCTGAACTATCACATTATATCTGTGTACACATGCACACATCTGCAATACGTGTGAAAATGTCAATCATAACAACATTAAGGGTCTTCGCAGCGAGGTGTGGCGAGGCGAGGCGTCCATGCAAATGAGACTCGGAGCTCGCGTAAAAGCCAAAATCTTAATTTGACTGCCACGGCGCAGTCTCTCATTCCTATATATTAGACAGCCCTTCCGCGTGGCACCTTTTCGGTTTCTTATTTTCTGGTATCGTTTATACCCTGCATTCCCTCAAGGGACCAGAATGTTGGTCGCAATAGCCATACGGACGCTATAAGCGGAGTTATTATAGCCAGGTTCTACTGCTTCAATGATCAGTGCACCCATGTGAGAATGGGATCTAATTTAACTAGAACAAGTAAAAAAGCTCTAGTCGAGACTGCTCGACTACGAAATCCCCTGAACCCTTCGAAGAATTGATATTTCACATTAATTCTTAGAGTCTTTCTGCTTACACAAGAAACACACACACTCACACACAGAAAAACATAGGGATGCAAGCATAAACACGCATTGGCAGCAGTGTAGGCTTACTATGGAAATTTAATTGTTTAATAACTTTTCTTGTTGATGAACTATACTCATGAAACTTTCAGGTTAATAATATAACATTAAAGTGCGTTATATATGCCAAAGCACTCTCTAGTATTTGAAATGCGCTTTTTATAAAGGTGAGGGTGAGGGGGTGAATATAAGGGTGGAGGGTAAATTTTAACAAAAACCAAAATTGTATAAATTGCATATAAGAAGAAGAAGAAGATGTGTGTGTGTGTGTGTGTATGTATGTATGCCTGTGTGTGCGTGCGTGTGTGTGTGTGTGTGTGTGTGTGTGTGTGTGTGTGTGTGTGTGTGTGTTTCTTGTGTAAGCTGAAAGACGCGAAAAATTATTGAAATAGCTATTACTCCAAGGGTACAGGGGATCTCGTAGTCGAGCAGTCTCGACTACAGCTTTCTTACTTGTTTTACTTGTTTTTTAATTATACTGTTGCATTCATTTATAACGTATTTTAACAATGCCAATGACAAGTCACCAACTGCTCGCTCATGCAGCCAAAGCGAGTGAGGGAGAGAGGAAGAGAGAAAGAGAGAAAGAGGAAAGAGAAAAGGATGAAACAATGGCAAAGTCGAAGAGATGAAAGGAATCACTTCAGTTGTCTGCAAATGCAATTACCAATCGCCGTCTGTTAATAGATTACGAACTCTCAAAGGAAATGTATATAATAGTTCTGCGGAGTGAGATTTCGCAATTTTCCAACAATGCGAACAGCTTTGGGGTAAAGAAAACACCTTGCTACTCCATCTGCAAATCAAATTGAATTCATTTGAATGGAATTATCCTGGCAGTTAGTGCACAGAGAGTGAATGGGATGATAAGAGAGGATGCGATGAAGAGAGCTAGAGAGAGAGAGAGAGAGAGAGAGAGAGAGACCGAATTCTTTCTCTATAAATTGCAAGAAGAATGTCTGTGCATCATATAGCAAAATATTAAAGTGTTAACATATGACTTCATATTTTCACGCAATATAAAAAAGTATTGAGTGCAAACAAAGAAAACTTTTAAAGCCGTGCAATTAACAAGTAAGAAAGCTCTAGTCGAGACTGCTCGACTACGCGATCCCCTGAACCCTTCGAGCAACTGATATTTTAATAATTATTTGCATATGCACACATACACGAACACACAGACATACGTCCGCACGCATAAACACGCATTGGCTGCAGTGGTGGCTTACTATAGGAAGTTAATTGTTTAATATCTTTATTTATGGATGTACTTTCTTCATGAAACTTTTAGATTATGAATATAATATAGATATGCATGTATTTGCCAAAGCACAAGTCCCTAGTATTTGGAATACGCCTTTTTCAAATTTGAGGGTGAGGGGGTGAATTAGGGGTGGTGGGTAAATTTTGACAACACAAGGACAAGGAGACTCTAGCTTTAATAATGAAGGAGATATAATTTTAAAACTGATTTTCGATAATGTTTTTAATCGATAACAAAATAACGGGGCACGTTATCGATATTTGAAGCAAAGCTCAATATGCGCGTGCTATACACGAACCTAGGAAAAAAAATGCTCTCTAGCTCTTATATCTTCTGAGATCGACGCGTTCAAACATCCGGTGCTCCTTGCTGAGAGATTCGCGGGTTATTTGCCCCTAAACTGAGTGATTATTTTCATATTAAAAGTCCTCCAGATGAAGTACATCTGCAAGTGTAGAGCGATCCTCAGAAAAAATGAAATATCTCTACATGGACTATGGTTGTCATTAGCAAGAAGTGATATTCCATTCAAATGGACATGAATGTGGCTGACAAATGTTATCAAACGCAATGACATATTTTGAGTAGTTTTTATGTTATTGCAATTTAGTTTGCTTATATTTGGTGAGCCCTAAAACTATCCAAATATTTTTAAAAATCTCGTTGACAGAAATCAAATTCAGTTTTCATTTGGGCTGTCTTCTAGCTCAGCTTCTTCTTGGCTTCACCATTTCATGAAATTTGCTGGTGGCTTGTGCTTTTGTGGAGCAGCTAAATTTACGGTTGTGCTACGGCGGGCACACTTACTTAGCATACGCTGCTGCTAACGACACAGATATCAAATTTTTTTGAATCAGCAGTCAGACACGGGGGCACAAAGACACACACACGCACCCATGCACATAAGTCTCCCTCTCTGTCTGTGTATGTACGTGTTTGTGGGGGAAGGCCATTCGCATTCCTTTGGCGCATGCATAGACTGCAACATAGTAAACTTGGCATCTATTACAGCATTTCGGTGGCTATCGTTATCGCCGCCCTGGCCGGCCCCCAGTGGCTGTTCACGGAGGAGAAGCTGCCCAATGTTAACTACAATGGGACGGCCAACTTTAATGCACTGGACGATGGCGCCTATGTGACGAAGTATACCAAATCTAGTCTCTGGATTTTATGCACAACGCTGCCAGGTGAGTGAAATGGTCAGTGGGGTATGAGGTATGAGGTGGGTGGACATTAAATTAGTATAAATGTGAAAGGCGATGACATTGCGTATACGTCATGTGGCAGACGAGATTTGTACTGTCATTGCGCGTTAATAAGCGAGGCACAACTAAATGAGCGGCACACACAAACATCACTGCAGTTAATCTATAGACGTCAGTTAGTCAGTCAGTCAGTCAGTCAATCAAACAAACAAATAAACCAGACAACTGCCTCCAATTAAGCGAGATCTAACGTACGCTGTTGGCCGAACTGATTCATTTGCCAAAAACCTATCCAAAAACTGTCTCTCATGCATGCCGCGAAGCTCTCTAAAGATACACAGATACACACTTTTTCTATTCTGCAAATTACAAGAGGATGAAATATATACATATACAATATATAATGAGATAATTACTTACATATGTACATATGTATATATGTACATATATAATTAAATTTATATCTACATGTGTACATATACATATGTATACCATGAATTATAAAATAGTGCTCTTTTATGGCAGGATGAGAAGTATCAACGGTAAGCGAATTACATTCAGTGGTTTATTTGATTAAATCAGTTGATGATGTATTTGAGTTAAGGTGAGGAGCAGCTGTTCCCAAATTGAGCACCCATATCTCCATATAGGCTGCATTAATGATTTGTAAAATGTGAATGGAATATGTATGTGCATGTAAATATGTGCGTGTCCTGTGTATCCCAAGCCCCATCTCATTCGTATATCGCCTTGCACAAAAGACATTGCTACTATTGGAGATCTGAAGTGTAATCATGTTTTCACAGGTCTTGAAATGGACTCATTCAATTGCATTAAAATTGATTACTTCCCTGATGAGGACTATCAACCAGATCCACACGATTCAACGTCTGCCATCCCCTGTAAGTAAATGTTAGAAATGATAGAAATAGATCGCAACTACTTTACGACTACTACTACTTGATATATACATATAACAAATAAAGTTACAAATATTTGATAAGGAACTTTAAAAAAAAAAAAAACAAGTAAGAAAACCCTAGTCGAGAGTGCTCGACTAGATACTACCCTGAACTAATAACTAATAACTAATAAAAATGCACATTTAGTATGGTTCAAATTTCAATTTCGGTGTGTTTAAAAATATCAATTAAATAGAAAACTTATTTAATTAAATATATAAATATTTTGAAACAATTAAAGAAATTAACATCAGTTGCGCCGCTCGGGATTCGAACCCGCGACTTATCGATCGAGCACCACACCGTTACTAACTACGCCATCTCACTTTTGAAAGCTGCGCTGGCAAACCTGAAATAGATTCACTGCTGCAGCGTCATCTACCAAAACCAAACCAAACTAACAGCTGATGTGATTCTAAGAATGTTCTAGAAGAAGTTTGAATGTATGTGTGCACACGTATACGAATCTGTTGTAACTGCTGCACGTGCGTATGTTAATTGGCCAAATATTAAATTATTTTTAATTAATTTTTGACTTAACGGAATTTAATGAAACTTTCAACATATTCTACTGAATATTTGACAAATTAAAAAAAAAAATTAAAAATCATTCATAATTAGCTATAGTGGCCTGACTTGAACTTGAATGTTTTTATTCGATAAAAACATAACGGGATGATTTATCGAATGTTAAACGCAAACTTGAAATTGAAGTCTCTAGCTCTTATATCTTCTGAAATCGACGCGTTCAAACATACGGACGGACGGACGGACAGACAGACGGGCAGGGCTAAATCAACTCAGCTCGTCGCCCTGATCAAGAATATATATACGTTGTGGGGTCTGCCACGCCTCCTTCTGCCTGTTACATACTTTTAACAAAACCATTATACCCTGATTTCCCATTTTCAATGGGTTCAGGGTATAACAAGTAAGAAAGCTCTAGTCGCGACTGGTCGACTACGAAATCCCCTGAACCCTTCGAAGAATTGATATTAAATTAGATATTAGAGTCTTTCTGCTTACACAAGAAACACACACACTCACACACAGAAAAACATAGGGATGCAAGCATAAACACGCACTGGGAGCAGTGTGGGCTTACTATGGAAATTTAATTGTTTAATAACTTTTCTTGTTGACGAATATACTCATTGATATAACATTAAATTGCGTGTATATACCCAAGCACAAGTCTCTAGTATTTAACATACGCTTTTTACAAAGGTGAGGGTGAGCGGGTGGATATAAGGCTGGGAGATAAATTACATCAAAAATCTAAACTTTATAAAATACATATAAATCTACATTTAAAATTTGGAAGCTCTAGCTCAAAAGGTGTAGGAGATATAATTAAATAACTAGCTTTCGATAAGGGTTTTAATCGATAATAAAATATCGGGAGTAGTTATCGATATTTAGAGAAAAGCTCGATATGCGCGTGATATACACGGACCCTGGAACAAAAATTTCAAGTCTCTAGCTCTTATATCTTCTGAGACAGACAGACAGGCGGACAGGGACAAATCGACTCAGCTCGTCTCCCTGATCAAGATCCTTCTGCCTGTTACATACTTTTAACAACACCATTATACCCTGATTTTCCATTTTCAATGGGTTTAAGGTATAAAAATAAATATAGTTTTGAATCAAACTGTTATTAATGTTTGAATTGCGAAGAAGAACATACTTCACCGACTAACCAATTTACGCTCAGAACGCAACAAAAACACACGTATCAGAAAAGCTTTATCATGCGATAAAACAAGAAAAGGATTCAGGAATGGTTTCTCGCAACTCGCTTTGGCATGTTTTAAGCGATTACATGTAAATGTGCATGTAGAGCTTTTCGCATATTGTCGCGCAATATTATCGTATCCACGCCATCCGCGGCCACTCTGACATCAGGCGTATACATACATACAATGTATATACGAAATCTAGTCTAGTCCATTCGACAGGACACACACAAACGGACAGATTAACGAACAGTAATAGGTCGTTTCAGTTGTTAATCCTGACCGACGCTCAGCACGGCATCTGCCTGATTAGCGTTAAAAAATCATAATTTTGGAGCCAAACAAGATATTCTAATATCTCAATGATATATGTTATTCTTCAAGCTTTCAAATGAATGTATCCGCTGTCTGATTAATTAATAATAAATAATTTTCTATCAAAAGGGGGAAATGTAATTTAACGTCAATAATACGTGTTATGATAAAATATTCAATATTATTATTATTATTATACTCATTCACGAAAGTGAAATAAGTATGTATATTGGTTTTGTGCAAGGTCCGTCTTGTTGTCCGTCCGTCTGTTCGTATGAACGCAGTTTATTTCGGCTTATTGAAAGTGTTAAAATTTTCCCGATCCGCCCACTAGGGGCGTGACAAATCGGAAAATGCACTGTCCGATATTCCAGAAATCATATTATATGAAAAGTTAAAAAGCTGAAATTCGGAATGTAGATCCGCGTCGACCACCCAAGATCAACAAGCTGTGATGTATGTATCTATGTATGTCCATTGGGGGTGTGAAAAATCAGATAAAGCTAGAACGCTGAAATTCTGCAAATGGGCTAATGGTATGATTCTATAAAGATTAATGAAAAAAGCATATATCTTAGCCCACTAGGGGCTTGGCAAATCGGACCTGAATATATAGCGATTATTCAAATTCTGCTATATTTTGGGCAGTATTGATACTAGCGAGCTGAAATATGATATATATACTCGGGCTGACGACCCAAGACCAAAAAGCTATGGCTTATATATATCCGCCCGCACGGGGCGTGGCAAGCCGCAAAAATTCATATCTCCTACAGTTTAAGAGCTAGAAGTTTCAAATTCAGATAATTGAGTTACTTATTATTATTATTATTATTATTATTTGTTTTTTTTTTCTTCAAGAAATGTTTTGCCTTCAGCACTTATCCCGCTTATTGCGACTTTTATATGCAGTTAACATAGTCAACTTTTAGTACTGTGGATTCAGACCCATACAAATTTTGATTTGACGCCCGACTGTGTGACTTTGGGATGAGTAGATCTCGGCGAGGGAATAGCTGCAGTATATAGTTTGTAGTACAAATTAAATTTAAGCACAGCTCTTCCCCTTCCTCAGAATCATATTGGTTACCGATTATTCCAGATGCCATATGGTGCATAATATCGGATAGAATTTGCATGTGAGTTGAAACCAAACGGCTGTAGAGAATTCTGTTTGAGTGTTTGTTAATTGAACACATATTTAATTGAGGTATTGCAGCAGCGTATCATAGCCAGCAAATTTGGTTAAGAATAATTGATTTGTGTACATGAAAATATCAGCTACAAACGCCCTTTTGCTCTTTAACAGCATCCGGGCGACTGACTAATTGCATTTAAGTCGAAATTTGGGAGCTGCCTCGATTATTATCTGTTTGCTAGCACTGACGTTGTATTACATCCTTGTTCATGTGCCTATTTCGATTTCGTTTTTGTGTCCATTTCCATTTCATTATTATTTAATTTTCGATTTCAGTTCATTCGATTTGCAGAAACACGAAAACTCAAATATTTCATTATTTCTGCTGCTGCTACTGATTCTGATTCGGACTGATTTCAAATGCGCCGCTGGCGATAAAAACAAACTATTGGACGAAAAAGTTCACATCGTTTGACAAATTTTCAGATTTCATATTTTTTCTCTATTTGGAGTAAAGGCCGCGGGCCGAAAATTGTGCCTTTTTGGAGCAAATTAGCTTTGCGGTTGTTCAATCGAAGCACAATAGAACGCTGTTTATGTATGTAAGTATGTGGCACACAACACGGGTAGACCACATGAATTTTGCGTCTGTTCGTTCATGTAATGTCGTTAATGTATAAAAAGGGCACGATTGTATTTTAGCAGCAAAGTGTTAAAGCCCATATATGTATGTATTATATAAACTAAATCAAAAAAATGGATATTATGATAATAAAATAATACTCTTATATATAATTATAAGTTAGAAGAGAAATGAAACAATACGAAATTATGATGGGATAACATAATGGGAAAGTCTTCTATCTGTCCAGTAAGCTATGTCACTCTATGCCTAAGACGTTGTCAGTGGTTTCTTGCCAATGAGCTTAAGTCAAGGACTATATAAACGTGTGAAAGTAAATATGAATGCATTGTGAGTAATCCATTGGATACATTGTTGTGTTTGGGCCTGATTGCTCTGAAAATGACATCAAAACTAAGTCAGCCCAAGATACAGGTCAGAATATATGTATGTACATATGTACATACAGTCACCCACAAAATAAAAAATAATAAACAAGTAAGAAAGCTCTAGTCGAGACTGCTCGATTACGAGATCCCCTGAATCCTTGGAGTAATAGCTATTTCAATCATTTTTCGCGTCTTTCAGCTTACACAAGAAACACGCACCCACACACACACACACACACACACGCACGCACGCACACACAGGCATACATACATACATACACACACACACACACACACACACACACACACACACACACACAGGCATACATACATACATACACACACACACACACACATACACATAAACATTTACACACACATACACAAACACATACACACTCAAGCATAAACACGCATGGGCGCAGTGAGTGAGCGCTTACTATGAGAACTCAATTGTTTAATAACTTTTTTTGTGGACATACGATCTTCATGAAACTTCATGAAACTTCAGATTATGATTATACCCTTGATATGCATGTATTTGCTAAAGCACAAGTCTCTAGTATTTGAAATATGCTTTTTACAAAAGTGAGGGTGAGGGGGTGAATATAGGGGTGGAGGGTAAATTTTAACAAAAACCGAAATTGTATAAATTGCATATAAGCATACATTAAAAATTTGAAAACTCTAGCAATAAAGGTGTAGAAGATATAATTTTATAACTGGTTTTCGATAAGGGTTTTTATCGATAAAAAAAGATCGGGATGAGTTTTAATTTAATGATTTTAAATGATAAACTCGATATCCGCGCTGTAATTACGAACATTTAAAAAATTTTAAGTCTCTAGCTCTTATATCTTCGGAAATCGACGCGTTCAAACATACGGACAGACGGACGGACGGACAGACGGACAGACGGACAGACAGACAGACGGACAGGACTATATCGACTCAGCTCGTCGCCCTGATCAAGAATATATAGACGTTATGGGGTCTGCGATTATTCCTTCTGCCTTTTACATACAGGCAGGCAGACCTTTAGAATATGTAATATAGGGTTATATAGAAGAATAAGTGGATAGATAGAGATAAACAAAATGATCCAAGGAATCATTATAAAGCATCATAATTTTTTGTTGCACGATAAAAATGTTTGAGCCGTACTCTACTGCTTTACTGCAGTCAAGCTTATATTTAAGTATCAATAGTCTATGAGCTCAGATCTTTTTAGTTGTCTATTGCAGATTAGTCTACAGTAAAATCTTAAGGATAAAATCACCTGGGATGCAGGTGCATTTCCATATCTATTGCTTTACAGTTCAAGTTTCGATGATCTAATCTGTTTCTGCATGATCATAATTGCGTATTTTAAGAATACTACAAGAATATTCTGTCACTTATCATACTTACATACATATATGTAGATATATTCATAATAGGAATATGCATACATATATTTATTGGCATTCCATATACATTTTTTTTCCGAAAACGAAAAATTAACTTGAACTTATTTCTTGCTTTCTGCAGATACTGTTACTCGGTCTTGTCCAATATTTCTGGGCGCCGGCATTTTGTTGGTCATCAGCTTCCTTATGTTTATGATACCAACATGTACGCATCGGAAATATATATACTATTTCAGCTCCGGAATACTATTTATCGTCAGCGGTAAGTGATGTTTATCTATAAAGTAAACGTTGCAGTTACCAACTGCAGAGTACTCATTCACACCCAATAACAAATTTAGTAGCTAAGTCTTGAGTTTCTAGATCTAATACTGTATAAAATGAAGTTTTCCTTGATTTGCCACGTTCCTACTGGGCGTAGACATTTTTGGCCAGTTCTTAGAACGAGCTAACAGTAACCTAACTGCAAAATGTAGATACTTATGCTGCAAAACTGTGAACATTACAGGGTATTTTTTGATACGCCACGCCCCTTAAAAGGCGTAACAATGATTTTTGGGTCATCGATAGAGGAGGTTACTATTAACTCAACTATCCAATATAAACTTTTGCGGTTTGCCACGCCCCTGTGGGCGGACATATATAGCCTTTTGGTAATGGGTGGTCAGCCCGAGTATATATACCAAATTTGAGGTCTCTGCTCAAAATATAGCAGAATTTGAATTATTGCTATATCGTCAGGTCCGATTTGCCAACGCCCCTAGTGGGCTTAGGCATATAATTTTTTTTTCATTAATCTTTATAGAATCATAGCATTTACCCATTTGCTTTAAGCAAATGGGCCATAGCTTTTTGGTCATGGGTGATCAACACGAATCTACATTCAAACAGCGTTCTAGCTCTTCAACTAATATGATTTCTGGCATATCGGAAAATGAACTTTCCGATTTGCCACGCCCCTAGTGGCCGGATCGGAAACATACACGACTTAGTGTTCCAAATTTAAAGTCTCTAGCTTTAATAGCGCCGAAATAAACTGCGTTTATACGGACAGACGGGCGGACATTGCACAAAACCAATATACTCATTTCACTCTCGTGAATGAGTATAAAAATTGGTGTTGGTAGTGCTTGTTAGTAGATGTTGTTGGAAGTGTTAAGTTTTAGATTTAAATGTCATATTATTCTACAGGTCTGATCATGCTCATCGGCTTGATTGCCTATATATCTATACTGAAGGCGGAGATTGGCTCCAAGCTGCGATCGCGATCCACACTACAGCCAGCGCTCTTCAAGGTGAGCTATGGCCAGAGCTTCTTCTTGTTCGTCTTTGGGTTCATTGCCACCGAGTTTGTCGGAGTGCTAAACATTTTTCTCTTCATCAACATGCACGAGATGAGCTACTACAGTGTAAGTATAGCTGCCCACCGGTCCCAGCATCCTCAGCGGAAATGGCTAAGGGAAGGGCAAAGAGAGGAGCAAAGTATGCGGATGTGGGAGCAAGAACTGACGTCATTTCCGTTTGAGCGAGCCACCACCGACAGACAGGACTCTGGCTGCTTCTTAAAGTTCTCTGAGCATTTGAATGTTGTTAATCATGCCATAAATCATAACCAATGTGCATGTTTATTGGGAATACTAAACCTTCTGCATGATAAACCTTTAGGTTTCTCAAGTTATTCAAGTTTATACTTTCCACGAAAAATATACATATTTCAATAAAGCCCTCGTAAGGAGTCAGCAGTAACTGCCTGTTAGAGCATTGCATAGTCTTGTTTACTGCATATTCTCTGCGCTTTAAGATGGTTTTACTCTTTTTCCAACAGCGACTACCCTGCTTTAGTTTGACCAACATACATTCCACCACCAAGGAAGACGAGGAATATAATGTGCTTAGCCACTCGTACAAGCGCTATCACCAGCCGAACACGGCAACGGCGACGGCTGCCGGCCAGGAGACGATGCCAGTGGCGGTGCGGGAGTCGCAATATCGAGCTGGTCAGCAGCAGCAGCAGGTGCGACCGGTGGCCCAGCGCTCGAGCAATGCGCGATTGCACCAAGTGCATGATGCGAGACGTGGACCCAGCCAGACGCAGACGCTGCCCGCAGGCTATGCGTGCCTCAAGCATCCGAACGCCAATGGAGGCGACTCCAATCAGAATCTTTATCTACACAACGATCTTGAGCGTCGGTAAGTAGAGGTGGCTAATGGACAAAAAACGAAACTCTAACTAGCAGTGGGTGACTCTCTACAGCTTCTACTTTGAGAAGCCTGCAGTCTCCAAGTGCAATTTGCACTCTCGCAGCTTTGCCAAGTCATTGAACGAGCTGTGTCTCGAGCCACTCGCAAGACCAGCACCAGCAGCAGCACCAGCACCAGCCCCACCGCCACCACCGACTACAACTATGTTTGCCGATTTGCCACAGGAGTTTCCGCTAACGCGCTCCGTGTCGACCACCACAGATATCTACACAGTGCCAACGGCGGTCCAGCTGAAGCGCAAACAGCTGCGCAACATGGCCACCAACACTCGCACGGACCAGCGCGACGACGAAGAGGAGCAAACGGCGCAGCTGTGCGGGTTGAAGCGCGGCCTGCGCAAGACTAAGGATGAGCTATTCCAGGAATTCTGTAAGCGGGCTGGCATGCGCGCCAAGCCAAAGAATATCTACTATATTCCCAGCGAGGATCCGGACGATGCGCTTCCGCTCCAAGAACCACAACCCCAACGGCGCGGCTACGAGGAGAGCCAAAAGAGCCATCACAAGATGCATGATGAAGATGACGCTGATGGCGACGATCATGGATTCCGACAGTTTCGCTCTGGTCCAACCTTGGACGAAGAACATCTCTATATAGTCGGCGGTAAATTAACAAAATATCTAATCTAGAATAATCTATATATCACCAGGCCCATAGTGAATGAAATGATAACTGATAACTGGGAAATCTTCATTAGCAGATCAGGGCTATTATTATTTGGTGGTACCACTGTAACTGTAGGCGATTGTAGACCCAGCGTGTTCATTTACACGACTACATTTCAATATGTGGCAATATATGGGGATAGCATTTGTTGGTCCCAAACAGAATTGGATGAGTGAGTCAATTAAATAGATGCTCGCCTAGTTCCAATTAAGGAACGAAATGAAGTGGCCAAATGGCAAGACTTGAAAAGTCTTCCGCCTATAGCTAAGGAGAAATATTATAACACAAAGTCTTGGGAGCGGCGGTTAAGGCTACCTTGATTCACTGTTGAAAATCCATAGCTGTTGAGTGTGCCGTGAGTATGGGACCGTTTCGTCAGCAAATGCTAAGCAACGTCAGCAGAATGAGCTTGCTGAGGCTCTGAGAATATGTAGTCGTTATATATGTAGGAGAGTCTTAAGTGAATCCGCATCTAAGATTCGATGGGCTTCTATTTGTTTCTATAAGGTATTGCTTGTAATGTCTGTTAATTTCATATGCAGATCACGCTCAGCTGGTGATACCTCGGCGAGTGTCCATGTGCGTGGAGCCTATGCTGCCGGCGCAGCAGTTACGGAAACTGAACTCCAATATGTCGCTGCACATGCCGCAAACAGAGGTGTGGCCCTGGATGGCGCAACCACGTCTCGCCTCGGAGCATGGTCAGAGCCGGACGCTGCCGCGCTGCTTCCTGCGCCAAACAGCCGGCAGTCAGGACAGCCTGGGCTCACTGCAAAGCAGCTACAGCGCCAGCCAGCTGCGCTTCTCGCAGCTGATGCAGCAGCACCAGCAGCAACTGGATCAGCAGAATCGTTATCTGTCCACGCTGACGCTGCCCCGGGCCGTCGATGAGGCTCAGATCAAACCGCAGTCGCAAAAGCAGCAGCAGCCGCTGCCACAGCCGCAGGCGCAACCGCCGCCACAGTCGGCGGTGCAGTGGCCTTCGGCTATACCGTCCTCACCGTCCAACTATGCCAACGGCTATCCAATGCCGCAGCCACTTTACGCTCCGGCTATTGCTGTGCCAGTTTCCAGCAGCATCGACGGCTCGCATCCGCCCAAGTTCCAGCGCGCCTACGCCTTCGACGATGCCCAGCGCCGGGCTAGCCAGGCTAGCTGTGCCGCTTCGGAAGCCTTCGATCTGGACGAGATGGAGCGCGAGCGTAGACGCTCCCATGCCAGTCTCTTTGGTGGCCCAGGCATGCCGCAGACACGGGAGCAATACGACCTCATCAATGGCACCGCGGTTTAGACCGAAGCAAGAAGCCTAAGCCCGGAGAGCTAGCTGTACTATGTCACGGCCAAACCTTCGAAATCAAATTGGTTGTATCTGAATCTCAATGTTGAATGTTAAATGAATAGTTTCAACATGAATAACTCTTAAGTACAGTTTCCCCAATTCATTTATTCATATCATAGAACGATTGCAAGACATATGAATCTATATATCTATCTCGCTCTTCATGCATATATATTTCTAGAGTGCTCTTTCAATGTGGATCCTATGTAATAACATTTATAAGTTTTTAGTTTCTGTCATATTTTATCATCGACTTTCATTTAATGTATGTTCTCCATTAAATGCATGTACATATATTCAGATATAGATAATCCTGAGGTAATTTTAAAATTGAGTAGATGCTATTCCAACAAGAATATATGTATATACACACATAAGTATGTGGATATTGTCATATAAATATAGATATACATATACATATATATATATATATATATATATATATATATATATATATATATATATATATATATTTATACATGTATATATATATACGATTGCCTCACTCTTCATTGAATTAGAGGAGAATGGGACTGGGGACGATTGCTTTACTAGGCGCGATTGGAGGATTCCAACACCACAAACATGCCCAGCAAATCAAACGTCGACATTTCATCACAGATTCATGCGTCTCCAGAACTCAGGACTATGCGACGGCGGCGTGCTGGATGACGCGTGCGATGCGGATGAGACGCTGCTTACCAGCTGGGCGTACACCTCCCGCATGGCTATGGGTGGGGTGTCCAGGCTACTGGCCAGGCTGCTTGAGTTGGTCGTCGTGTTGCCAACATCGCTGATTGCGTCCAACAGCCCCATCAGATTGGATCCGGCAGTCGTGGCTGTAGACAACTCCGTTCGGCAGCTGGGCGCAGTATGCGGTCGATGGGCCAAAGCAGTGGCTGGGCATCTGGCGTTCAATATACTTGTGGGCGCACTCCAAGGACGCGTGACTGTCTTCACATTGGCCATTGGCAAATCATCAAACTTGGCTGGGCTTTGCGCTACTACCTGAGCACCAAACAGCTGATGCAATCTAGCCATGGAGCGCTGCAATTTGCGTCTGGCAGGAGGTGTCACCGGCTCATCGCCTCTATTGGCGTCAGCATCTGCCAGAGAAGTGAGCGTGCTGCTGCTGCTGCTGCTGCTGCTACTGGCTAGATCTGTCCCCAGTGCTTTCCCAAGCTGCGCTTCGGCGGTTAACAGCTGCAGGCTGCCGGGCTTACAGACTCGCGCCAATGTCGCCTCTACGCGGCTCATCAGATGCTGCGTCTCATTCTGCACCTGGGTAGCTATAGCTGTTCGCTCAATCGCCAGCGCTGGTGCTTCCAGATCCAGCTCTGGAGACAATATTGATGCTGGTGCTGCTGACGTCATTGTTCCCGTCGCTGTCCCTGAAGTTGACTGAAGCTCTGAGAAGAGCTTACGCCTGGCCACGGCAATGGCATTGGTGAACTGATAGCTCTCTTGGTCCACTTCTGAGCTGCTGGTAATGGGCGAAGGTGCAGATGGCAACGCCGCAGTCAGGTTGACATCGTCACAGCGTATGCGACGCTGCCACTCGCGAAAGTTTTCCAAGGTGCGATGGATCTGCTGCCGCTCGCTTGCACAGCTGGCACGTATGTTGATTTTCTGTTTCTGGACTCGCGCACGGTCCAGATAGTCTAGAAAACTCTGCTCCAGCAGATCGCTCTCTTGCTCTAGCTGCAGCATGCGATTTCTGTATATATGGGATTCAGAGTGAATTAGCACTTACACTTGGACGCAGGATGGAATCAACTTACTTGGCGCTAAGTAGTGCTTCATTGAAACTGGACATATCTTGTGGTCTGGCGTCGGCTGTATGTGACCTGCTCTTGCTACAGGCGTTAGTGGCAACATTGTTCTGTACTGCTTTCTCTGGATGAGCAGGAGGTGAGACAGGTTCAGAAGAAGTAGAAGCAGCAAGAGCAGGAGGAGCACCAGGCGCAGGAGAAGCACCAGGCGCAGTAGGAACAGTAGGAGCAGCAGAAGCAGCAGTATTATCAACACTCAAGTCTGGTAGATTATGAAGAGGCGGTGCAGAGACAGGTCCAGTCGCTGGCGCAGGATGAGCACTAGTCGTGGACGTAGCAGGACGGCTGTATTCAGTATTCCCTTCGTTGGCTTCTTCATCAGTCCACACGGGCTGAATGCGTGCCGTTTGCTCGGCGGCCAGTTCCGTTTGCTGTATCTTCTCCGCAATCAGCCGATGGTGTGCCTCGTAGCGCGCGAGCAGCCGGAATATCTTTTGCACCAGCTCACGTGCTTCCGTGGACTGTGAGTCGCGCTCCACATGTCGGCAGAGCGTCTGCAATTGATATAAGTAAGATTAAGTGTACAAAGTACTGCAATAGGAGGAATACACACACGCCAGGAGTTTTGCCTGCGACTGAGGCGCATCAGCTCAGCATGATGCCGCATCTTTACTTCGAAAAGCTCATCCAGACGGTGCTTCTGCTGCTCCAGTGCCTTGTTTAGCGACAGCTCGACACGTTCCAGAAAGATCAGACCGCTGCGACTGTGCAGCATCTCATAGATCCACTGCTCGTAGCTGCGCGAAGCCACAGCTGTTTCGGGAGGACATGGAGCTGTTTGGCTGGCGACATCCCGGGAGCCTCTCTGCGTTCTACGCCTCGGACTAGTGGCTGCGTGCCGCTGCTGCGCGCTTGCCGTTTGAGTCACACTTGTGTGCACTCTGCGCGGTGGTGGTGGTTTTTTGGTTTGTGACGACCTGTCCTTAAGCCTCTGCTGACGCTGCCACTTCATGCCCTCCTGGACGCCCATGTAGTGCCCATGGGAGAAGCCCTCGCGATAGCCCTGCTGGAAGCCCTTGCGCATGCCCACGGTATACTCCTGCTCCATGGCCAGGTTGAGCACATTACTTAGCGACTGCACACAGCTCGCGAGCTCACCTACCATTACCCCAAGCCTATCTAGCTTTGAGTGCATACAGTCGTGGGTGCTGGAGTCTTGGGGAGTCTGCTGTTGGTATTTCTGCAAAATCTGCTGTACCGTCGCCAGGCTACCCACTTGCTCCACATGTAAGTGCGGCAGCTTTGGAACAGACGGCAAGTCCGCCGGCAGTTGAATGGGGCCAACCGGGGACTCCACTGTGTTTTTGTCCTCTTCCGCCTCTAGCTCTTCCTGTTCTGGTTGCTGTGGCTCGGGCAGCTCTACGGCCATCTCCCCGGCCCCCAGTACTTTTCCCATACCCTGGAGGCGCTGACGTTCAAGCATTTCCTTCTTTAGCAGCTGGTCAAACGCCTTTCTGGAGATGACCTCGATGGGCGGCGCACAAGATTTGCAGAGCGCATCAATAAAGCGCATTAGCTCTGACAGCTGCTCGTCCACGCCAATCAGCGACTGTGAGATGCCCTGCCCCATGAAGACAGTGCGTCCATCGGCGGCCACAATCAGCTCTTCGGCCTGGTACAGCCCGGTGGTATCCACATCCGGGCTGCTCGAGAAACATGCTACCGGATCTGTTTGCGTGCCCTCCTCCGATTGGCCTGCCGTTGGTGTCATCGTGGACTCGCTGACCTGTTGCACAACCATGCGGCGCGCACCTATCAAGCTCTGAACCAGCGCGGACAGCAGCGACTGATGCGTTATGTCGTAGGTCTTATGCACTGTTTGCTCGAGATCTAGCTGCGGCTGAGGCTCCCGTTGTGTTTCACCAAGCACTGCAGAGAGCAGCTGCTGCCGCTCCTGCTCACTGAAGCGAAACCGGACGCTGTTTTCGAAGTCGGGCAGTGCATGGCGGTGCGGCATCTCGCTGCTGTAAACGGTGAGCGTGTAATGGCAATTCTGCTCATAGAGAAACTCCGCGACGAGCGTGTGCAGAGCCAAGCCCAAGGGCGACAGCAGCAGGAAGTTCTGCTGCTGGCTCACCTGTACGGAGGTCGTCGACACTCGGGTCAGCAGCTTGCCTGCCGAAGAGAGAGAGTCAAATATACAATGAAATGGATATGCAACCACGCAGAATGCGTTACTTACCAAGCGAGCTGCTGTTAAAGCTATTGATAAGCTCCATGCGCAAGTGCGTGTGCATTCTATTTTCGATGCCCTCCTGTGCCAACCACTGACGAAACTCTCGCTCGAATTCCAGCTGGGACAGCTGTGAAAAATTCTTCAGTTGTCGACGCAGCTTTGTTGTCTCCTCATCCTCGGAGTCCGAGTCCATGTCAGAGCCGGAGCCAGCGTGTTGACCAATGGCTACGTTCGCGTCTCCAGCAGCTTGTGTGTGGAGCTGTGTGCCTGTCTGACTGCGTACTCCAGGAGCCTTCTGTTTACCTTTGTCATAGCTGGGCTTGGGCGTTGAGCGCAGTACCGTTGCTGTCAGCCTCGGCGCTGGCGTCGGCTTCTGCGTTGGCTTCGGCGTCGGTTTCTGCGCTGGCTTCGGCGTCGGCTTCAGTATCGACTTTGGCGTCTGTTTCATTGTCGGCGTCGACTTCATCATCGGCTTCGCCGGTGGCTTAGGCGGTGGCTTCGGTGTTGGTTTCGATTTCGGCGCCGTTGGTGTTATTATTGGACGCCTTAATGGGACAGCACGTTTCTGGAGTGCCTGCGCTTCCCTCTCTCTCCTGGCCGCCTCATGCTTCCGTTCACGTTCACATATCAGCTGCGGCTGCGTCTGGCGCAGCTTTAATCTGGTCTCTTCCTCTTTGCTTCGCTGCCTAACGGATGTCAGACGACTGAGGCCGGCAACGGTTGCTACAGTCGAAGAAGCAGCTGCAGCAGTAGCAGCAGTTGGCCTTTGCTTGGGTTTCATTCCGTTTCGATTTTAGACACTAGCAATTTTGAGCGCATCGGTAGAAGTCTTAATTCTCAGCCTTAGATTTCCGCTATAGCTTCAATCACAATAATTTTCCTATTTAATCGTGCACATCTTACATGGGATTCACTTGCCTGTGTGTAGCTGCTGCTATTTCTGCCTGTTCTTGCCGGCACGGCCAGCGTTTGATAAATAACTTTTTGGACGCTGCAGCACACTGTAGACACCACCGTCAGGTGCTCAACTTTGACAGCAGTAGCAGCGCCATCTGCGTCGTAGCCTACCTGCATTCGGCCAAGCGTAACACTCCAGACGCAGTAAAAACACGATTGAGCATTTGTGTAACTAACACATTTCCTACAGTGGAATTTTTGCAGTAGAATCATATTTACATAGGTATTGCACGAGTGCGTTATCGCTCATGAGCCGCTGAAAACATAACTATTTCTTTTTGGTGAAACATCAATCAAATCTGTCATAAATATACTTATATTTGTGTTGAGAAGAGCAAAATATATTTGAAATACAAACGCCGCAAATCTATACTCACTGTCAAAAGCTTGCTTGCGTGTCAATCGATGTATCGTATAAAATATTTCATCTATCGCTGCAACAGAATGAAAACAAGAACAAGCATTATTGCTTTTAGGTTATACCACTAACCAGACAACACATGTTCTATGGTTAGTGATTATACTAATCAGATTTATGACGAATATATATTTATTTTGCTCGTTTGGTAGGGTGTTGATATATATACATACATATATATATATATATAATACACACTCACTGACAAATGCTGCCTGCGTGCCAATCGATATATCGGATGAAATATGCGTGCTATCGCTATAACAGAGCTATCGGTACAGAATCAAAACAATAATACGCACTATTTTGTCAGATGCTTAACTTTGACGATTTGTGGGTGGTAACCATTAATATAAATGTGGTGATAGCAAGCAATTCCGAATGACGTTGCGATTTCGGTTTCCTTTGTGAAGTGGCACGAGAATACATGAGTGTTAAAAGACTTAGTACACAGTTGAACATAATCATGGGATTACACACACATATTTACTTTTAATTTCACAGTTTTATCAGGAATAGCAAAATACGCACAGTCATTATTTGCAGCACGCAATTAAGGCTGGACCGCTTTGATGTCGCAGATCGATAACATCTTCAACCAGGTGCGAGCGCGCCTGCAGACCCAAGGCATCAAACTCTGGGAGGAGCCATACTATTCCGATGGCTTGGGCAGCATTGAGGCCTCAATTGAAGTAAGTACATCATCCGGATCCACATCCAAATCGAGGCGATATGTTAATCTTTAGCCCGCAGCGCTTAGCTGAGGAGTACAGTGTCGACCTTGGAATCGACGCCTCAAGATGCAAATACGTGATCACCGAGCTGCAGGATAATGCTCTGCGTAAGCTGGCGGCACGTCGAGAATTTAGCGAAACGGGTCTCGCCACGTTCAAGGTGCGACGCGTCGACAATCGCAATGGCACCACTAGCATACTGGACATCAAATGTGATCTAAACGAGCTGGGCTCCAAGCTGCAGCAGGTGATTGCGGCCAAGCTGGAGCTGGGCGATGCCGATGAAGTCAAGTGCATTGCAGCGGGGCACATCATCTCGCCGAATGCAACGCTCACTGCACAGCAGCTGAAGAACAATCAGCAGCTCATTGTCATCATTTGCAGGCGGGACGACCAAAACGGCGCCTTGCATGATAGAATCGCCAAGATCAAAGCTGATGTAGAGGCGGTTGTGGCATCCCAGAGTCAGCTTATGGAGGTACGTTGCCAAACTGAGATTGCATTTGCCGCATGTATGTGTAACCTCCTTTCAGATGGAGGATCAGGATGGCAATCCGGTGTTTCTGCCGCCGAACGAGAATCGCGCTCTGCTAACGGGTTTGGGTTACTGCGAGAAGGCGCGTGCTGCAATGCAACGCGAGGACTACGAGGAGGCTCTGCTGTTGCTGCTAGAGGCGGATGAGCAGTTCAGTACGTGTGATTCCAAGTTGCTTGAGTCAGTGGATAATTATGCACTGCTCAACTTGGACATAGTCTGGTGCTATATGTGCCTGAAGAATGTCGCCCAGCTGCCGGATGCTGACCGGCGTTTGAGCATCTGTGAGCGTAGCTTCAAACGTAGCTACGGCGAGAACTATTCGCGTCTTTATGCGCTCAAGGGTCGCGGCTGTCCAGAGCGCGCGCTCATCATGCGGCTACAGCTGCTCCAGGGCGTCGTGCTTTACCATCAGAATCAGCGAGACGCCGCCTACGAGCGCTTAGAGGCAGCTGGCATTGTGTTAAGCGAGCTAAAGGTCAACGACGAGCAATTGCTACTGCTCGTGGAGATGGGCTTCGAGGTGAGTGAGGCACGCCTCGCCTTGCGCTCCTGCTCGGGCGACGTGGAGCGAGCGGTGCAGTATATCCAACAGCGCAAGCAGCAGTTATTAGACGCTCGCAAGCAATCGAAGGAGGAGCGGGCCATGCACCGACGCTATGCTAAGCAAGCGACCCAGGAAATTGACTGGGTGAATCCTCGCAGTGTGTGCACTCTCACCGAAATGGGCTTCGAGCGGCGCCTGGCGGCTGCAGCGCTGCGACGCACCAAAAATGATGTAGCACGCGCAGTAAGTGAGCAGCTGTATCAGCTTCATATTCAATATCACAGCTTACCTTTGATCGCTTTAGGTGGAGCTGCTGCAAACTAACTCCGCCGAGCTGCGCGACTCATTGCCTGAATCGCAAAGCGTGGATGCAGTGCTGCTGGCAGCCTTGTTGCAGCTGGGCTTCAAGGAACCAGCTGCTCGGGCTGCTCTCGAAAGCGCAGAAAACAAATTGGAGAGGGCAATGGACTTTCTGCTCAAAGCCATCCAGAGCGAGGAGGAGCTGCTGCAAACTGTGGAGCGCGTCACAGAACTTGCTAAAGGGGGGGCTATCGAGTTGAATGGAGCATCCACTTCGCAGGCAGCCGAGGGGGCACCATCCAGTTTCCTCATAGATGCCGTGTTGCAAAAGGCCAAGGCCGAGTTGGAGGCATATCAGGCATTCAAGCGCCTGAATGCAGACCTGACTAGCACTGATCAGGATTACTTGGATTTGCCGTTGCTGCAGGAGGAACAGTTACTGGCCGAGTACCGCAATTTGCTAGAGCAATAAAATGAGGCAACCGAGGTTGCTGCTACTTTTGCCTGTTTGTTGTTAGTGTCTAAGCGATTTAATTTAATTACGTTCGTTACGGCGGCTCCGGCACGCTATATAAAACCGGTTTAATACATGCGGATAACTGTAATCATGACTTGTGCATTGCAAATCATTCACTTCACTTATAATGATACTTAAGTGGCGTTCGTCTTGCTGCTCCTAGTCCCCACATGCCCTCTTTTGACCTGCCTACGAATCTGTTCACAGACGGCATCGCAAATTGTCTCCTATATACAGAAAACAAATATATACATATGTATATACTTACTTTGATATGTATATATGCAATGTAATTCGCTGCTTATTAGCGTTGATGTCAATTCATTTTATTTAATCAACAGACTTTGGATCGCTGTCAGATGCTAAGTTGCTGACCTTCCCGTAGACTTAATCATTTACTTCAATCAATAGAAATGATTAGAATTTTCTGCAAAGAATACGTTATATATTTAAATTTGAATTAATATTTCAGAGCACTGTACAGTACTTTACAGCACATGTTGACTGACAAAAGCTGTGTGCTACCAAATGATCCACTACGCTGACTTATGATGGAAACTCTCAAAAGTTGTGCATTTTCAAATATAATGGGAAAAATTCCGAGCTAATATTTAAAATTTCATACTGCTTTGTTTTAATCTGTACATGACATCAGCTACTGCCAATTATCGGAGCAGATGAGGCAAAGATGAGTTTTAACGTAACGGTCAACGGAGCGAAGCCCGATTATATTTGGCATTTGTCTGTACATATATGTACATATGTATATAATAACGCAATCGTTTTTGTCATTCAACAGTCTCATAATTTTGAATATGTAAAATTTTAACAATACATGTTAATGCTTCTATTCTTTTGCTCAAAAATTCGCCAATCGTCTTACATGTGTAAAGGATTCAATTTTAATATATATTTTTATACCCTGAACCCAATTATATCTCCTACACCTTTAGAGCTAGAGCTTCCAAATTATAATGTAGACTTATATGTATTTTATATAATTTCGATTTTTGTTGTAATTTACCCCCCACCCATATATTCACCCCTCACCCTCACCTTTGTAAAAGGCGTATTTCAAGTACTAGAGATTTGTGGAATGTACATACATTTTCACCATATGATTACGCTCTGAAAGTTTCATTGAGATTGTACGTCTAGAAATTAAATTATTCAACAAATAAATTCTTGTAATGTTGCCCACACTGAAGCGCAGCCCAAGCGCAGTCGCTGCTTACTGCGCAGTTAGCAGAGCGCGTTCTAATACGTGCGTGTGTATGTATGTGTGCCGAAAAGAAGTGCAGAGTGAGTATCAGATTAGAGGGTGCAGGGTATCTCCTAGAGCCTAGAGTCTCGACTAGAGTGTTCTTACTTGTTTATTTTGGACGATTTCAAACATAGAGGATGCTATAAGCAATTTAGTCGCTGAGCTTTGTGTTTCTCGCCCTATACTGTAGAAAATACTGTTTTTTTTCGATTTGCCACGCCCAGTTAGCGTAGACACACAACTTTTGGCAAGTTCTTAGAACGAGCCAAAAGTAACGTATTTGCAAAACATAGATGCTTACGCTCCAAAAATGTGAAATTCCACGTTATTTTTCGACATGCCACGTCCCGAAAATCACAATATATTCAGATCTGATTTTCCACGGGTTTAGTGGGCGTGGACATATAAATCGATCTTTATAGCATCGTAACATTAAAAAATTTCAGCGATCAAGCTTTAAAACTGTAGAGGATACATGCTACGCCCCTACTGGGCGGGAAAATTCATACACCTTAGAATTGGAGGGTATCTGCAACCATAGCTCAAAATTTCAAGTCTCTAGCTTCAATAGCATCGGAAAAAATTACATTTATGCGGACAGACAATCGAACGGACAGCAAGACGGACATTGAACAAAACTAATATAATAATTTCACTTTCATGAATGAGTATAATAAAGTTGAATTATTAATACAAAACCTTCAACTCGGTCAAGCTTTAAATACAGGCTTGAAGATTTAGTATGGACTTCAAATATGAGAATCTAATAGTTTTATGAATTCTCTAAGTTTCGTCTTTCGCATAACTAAAAATTACTGATAGGGATCTTTAAGTGCGAGTTGATTGTTTTAATTTTTTTATTTCTGGTTCTTTTCTGATTCGTTTCGTTTATTTTATTTATTTATTTTTTTTTTTTTTTAATATTTAAATTCACCTTTTTTCCACCACTTAGTAGTTGGTTTTTTAATGGCTCTGGCGATTACATGTAGCTGATACTCAGCCAAGCGCAGCATTTGGCCATTTATCCGCAAATGAA